CCTGTTGCTCTGAGCCCATTTTCCTCACCGAAGGGCTGGCACTAGAATAAAAAGTTTAGACTCTTTCTCCGTCCTGCCTGTGATAGGAATCCCCCTTCCAGGCTTCTCCCCGCCCCTCTAGGGGAGTCTCCAAGTGAGAAAGGGTTGGGCTGTCTCACCCTCTCCCAACTGGAGGACTGAAAGTCTTCGCGAGAGTGCCCTTGTGGACATCTTGCCAGAATTTGAGATGCTGATGATCATGGCACTGGGAGTGACCCAGGTGAAAGGCCTTGCAAAAGGCTCTGGTTATTCGGAGATTGTGGTCTGTCACACAGAATCCCTTCCCTGCCCGTTGCAGATAGTCATCAACTTTCTAGCAAACGGGAGACCAGGCTGCCCAGGCGTCATGTGAAGCTGGATGGCTCCATCTAAAAAGAACTAGAAAAGAGGAAAGAAATGAATCTCAGAGATATGGTTTGTAACGATGTGTGAACTTCAGGCATGCAAATCCCCAGCTATCAGAAAGGGACAGAAGAAGGCACACACAAGGAAGCTTGGTTGGACAGAGCACTATTTTTAGCAAAATAAAATAAAATAAAAATGGAAAAGGTCCTTAAAAACATATGTTAACTTAAAATTAAGAAAGGCTTTTCAAAGTGAGAGGGAGCAAGGGGTTATTTGACATGGATAGGAATAGCTGTTTGGGAATCATTAATTCATGCAGAAGCCCAAATAGTGTACTGATTAGGAGATGGAGGCGATGGGCATTTATGAGAAAGGGAAGAGGACTATTACATCAATGGAAAGAAGGCATTTCTATTGGTGCAGATGAGCTAACATAGTGATGCTGATTCTGAACAATGCTTTTAGTTTTCAGCCCAGTAGTCCTCAGTGCAGTAGTCATAACGTCTGTTTTCTAGTTATCTTTGCAAACCGTTGGGCCCATGGGACAGGAGGATGAGGGACGCCATTAAGAGACGCCATATGAAACGGCCACTTTAACATGTGCCAGAGGTGCCATGCACCAGGAATGGCCTTTCACATCTTATATTCGAACTTTTGGAATATTATACTGAGGACAAAATAACCTTAGGACTGGGCCTAGACAACCTATCCCATTAGATGGCCTGGGCCGAACTGGTGTTGGGGGAGGGAGAGGTGAGTCAGGAATGTTAATAGAATCTTTGTGTAACCTGGAAATAATGTACAAAATCCAGAGAGACACCAGGATCAGGGGAGACCCGAGGGCAGGTCTCCAAGGGTACATTATTGTTTACACATGTAATAATTCAATTGCATTGGCTGGTCTCTCTGAGGGTTGGGATTTTTGCTAGGGGCTTGGGATAAAGAGAGGAGCATGATTTGCCTCTGGCCCAGGGGGATTCTGTGTAGATAAGAAGACCAATATCTAAATAAAAAGTTGTCATACGGCATGACAAAGGATCTACTAGGGAAATATTTTTTAAGAGTGATAGGAACGTAGAAGAGGGAACAATTAAATAAATCCTAGGGACTCAGAAGAGAGGAGGTGACTTTTAAACTACACAGAAGGGAGAGGGGAAGGCACCTTTCTTCAAATTGAACCATATGAAATTGCCAACATGCAACCCTATTGACCATAAAGGCAAAAGGTTGATTTCTGATGGTTTATCTGAACAATAAGAGCAGGACCAGCATGCAGATTGCATCCCTTTCACCGACTCTGATGGAATGGTGGTAACTGCCCAGAAGCTGTGTTGAGAATGATTCTGAGGATTCCAGGGCAACAGGAAAGAATAATATTGGAATTGTTCAGTGGTCTGTCCCGACTAAGGAATGGGTCTAAATTAAACATACTTGCCATACTTAAATGATAAGAAGTTTTAGAAAAAAAATCACAGAAGTCTTAGGCTGTCCTCCTGGGTGTAGGCAGGCCCCGGTAGTCAGAGGTGGATGGGCTATGCTCGGGGTGACAGGGGTGTGGGTGGAAGACTCACTTCTGGAGACTCCTTAGACGGCTGTATCACAACTTGCTTTGGACGACCTTGTAAACACCCCCGATACTACTGCTTGTACCCCACTATCTATTCCACTTGCTTAAACATACACCACCCGCGCCCCCACCCCAGAGAAATACACGGAGGTTACAGTGTATTCCTCCACTGCTTTGCTTTTGCTTAATTCAAAGCTTTCTTTTAAGAAAAGGTCACAGTGTACCGAGTGAACACACAATAAGTACTTTGCAAATTAAATTGGAGGATGTTTTTAGGTAACATCACAACCAAGTCCTGTGACGGTGGACATTTCGTTTTACAAAGGTCAAAATCATTGCACAAAGGATTTTTTTTTAACTACTTAGAGGGCATCCAAAGAAGTTATTTCAGAGCAGTTTCTCAGGACCCACAGCATAAGAAAGCGAGGGAAGCGTCATTACGCCCTGCCAGGATTCAGCCTTCTAGAGGGAATCTGTGTCGTGTCTCATTGGCACTCCTACATTGCACTGGGGTTATTGAAAATCAGTCCATGATTTTAACTGTGAAATACTAAAATGCCCTTCTGCATATATATTTGCTACAATTACATTATTTTTCTTTTGAAACCTATATACCCCAAGACATTTTAGATCTCATTTTAATAGTGGTTCTTTCTAAAAATATATATATTTTTTATTGATTTCAGAGAGGAAAGGAGAGGGAGAGAGAGAGAGAGAAACATCAGGGATGAGAGAGAATCATCTAACAGCTGCCTCCTGTACACCCCCTTACTGGGGATTGAGCCTGCAACCAGGGCATGTGCCCTGACTGGGCATTGAACCATGACTTCCTGGTTCATAGGTTGATGTTCAACCACTGAGCCAAACTGGTGGGCTTAATGGAGGTTCTTAACCAGGGGTGCCCGGGAAAGTCTCGTGGAAGAACTTTCTCCTGCCCCACCTTCCCTAGCCCCACTCTAGAAGGTTCTGATTTAGTAGCTCTCTCTCGATCCCATGGAAACATTAGCTTCTCTCCAAGAGTTCTAGCAATGAGCCAAAGGAGTCTCACTGGAAAAGCAGGGTGGGGGTTAGGGCATGTCTTTTCTGCTGGGTGTCCTACCTCCTGTTGGCTGATTTTAGACCCCGAATCCCATGGTCTGATGTTCAGTTCATTTGCGGTTCATCCCCATCACAGACCAGCCTCCTGACAGAACTGGAAATACCCACTGTGGAGAAAGTAGGTCATGTGAAGGCTCATAAGTTACAATAAACTGTTCTCACCTACAGTAGGAAGAAGAAAGCACTGTCAGTTTAGCAAAGGTTGATTATGACTCAGGCCCATCCAGACTCTTAATACACTTGCTACCAAGGGAAGGTCAGTGAATTCCACTTTTACATCTGGGCTTTTAGGGAGGAGCGGGCGGGGGGCTCTCCTCCAGCTATAAGCCCAGGACCCTAAGGCAAGCAGGAGAGGGACTAGGGGACTTCCTCCCAGGGGCTACTTCTCCTTGTCACACATTGGATGGACTGGGCCCACCTGGTGTTGGGGGAGGGAGAGATGAGTCAGGAATGTTAATAGAACTTTGTGTAACCTGGAATAATGTACAAAATCCAGAGAGACACCAGAATCAGGGGAGAAGTGGAATTGGGGACGGCCCCTCAGTGTCCTCCTGCGATCCCTCTGTTTTGGCTTGGCACCTGAGGGATGGGGGAATAGAGGTGAGGAGACCACCTTTGGAGTTGTGTCTGGGCTTGTACATCAGGAAAGATTACTGTCTCTTAATGGCGTCCTGTGGCAGCCCCTCTCTATTTGGTGAAGCCCCACTCACTCTGGAAGTTTTAACTACACTTGTGTTGAACTTGGGTAAGATACCAAAAGGTTATAGAACGTCCCCTTCATCACCCGAGGGCAGGTCTCCAAGGGTCCAGGTGAGTTCCAGGTTCCCTGAGACTCAGGCTTCCTTTCATAGGGGATTGCTTTCCTAGGATGGTGGGAGAATACAGAGACCAGTGGAGGTGCTGACCTTGACCGGACAGGGAAGTGTATTCCCATCGTCAGGAATGGGCGGCAAGCTCCTCAAACGTCTCCCTCCCACTTTGCAAAGCCTCGGAGTTTGAGCAGCAGTAGGAGAGCAGACTTGATACCCCGAAGAGCCCTGGCCCTCATCCTTGGCGGAGGTGGTTGAGCAAAACATGGCATAGATTGAGAGAGATCTCAGGAGTCCACCGTTCTTCCCGCTATAAGCTTCCTCTTTACAAGGATGAGCGGGGCCCTTTGCTGTAAATCGGGGAGCAAGTCCTCGCTGCAGTGCCACTGTGGGCAGTCTTCAGGGGCAGTGACACAGCCTCTCGACTAGCTTTAGGGGAGACACAGGAGATGCAGCAGTCCTAGATGGTCTCACCCTGAGTCCACGGGGGGTCGGGGTGGGTCACAGGAACAGCGAAAGTTGCATTTGTTTCTTCCTGTCTGACTTGTGCTCTTCCTCAGAAGAACTGATTTGGACTTAAGTGTGGGTGGTGGGGGAGGAACACTTTTCTGTAAACATAGCAACACACGTGCTTGCCATTTGCTGAGTAATGATTCTGAGCCAGCCCCTGTGCTGGGCATGTCTCCGTCATACGACTCACCACCCCTCCTGCAGGTAGGTATATTCACCCGTTTTCCAGATGGGACTCCCAAGGCACAGAGAGGTACAGTCACTCACCATGATCACACAGCCAAGTAGAGTCTGAGTCAGGCTTGCTATCTCGTTCTCCCTGAAATGTCCACACTCCCCTTTGAGCATGGCATGCTGCTTCCATTATGGACCTGAAGCTGGGGTCCTGGGCCAGCCAGGCTCCTCTACGCCCACCCCGTGGGGAAAGGAATGACCTGTGCTTGGTGGGCTGGGGGCGGGCCTCCCCAGCTCCCTCTGGCTAAGGCAGGGGCTGCTGTGGGGGTCCCGTCACGCGCTCTGGGGTGTGGCTATGTTTTCATTTGCCTGCCTTTCTCGTTTGCGTTGCCGTGATCTCTCAGGTGTAGTGTGCCTGTTCCCAAACCAGATACCATCTATCTCTCTCTCTTTCGTAGGCACGGTGCTGTTGTGCCAGGCAAACCAGGAGGGATCTTCCATGTACAGTGCCCCCAGTTCACTTGTATATACTTCCGCAAGTAAGCCCATGTTGTGGCTCCTTTTTTTGTTTTGTGACATAACTCTGAGTCCAGTCACCTTCCCTGCCATGTAAGTCCCCTTCCCCTCCCTCTGCACCGCCCTCCCGCGTGGCCCCCTCCAGGTGAATTTGATTTCCATGAGCATGTCTCTGTTTCCCGTTGCCTTAGCATCCAATCCCTCTGCTCATTACGTCTGAATCCTCACGTCCCGGATGTCCCAGCCATTCTTTGTGCAGACCTGTCAGGACTGGGTCCAATGGATGGGGCATGGGGTATTGGGGTCGGGGAGGGGAAGGGAAGGAGGGAAGAAGCTATAGCTCATTGCCTGCCTTCTACCACAGCTTTGTAAATTTATAGGAGAAATATTGAATTAAAACATTCAGGCAATTCAACTGGCACCCTAGCCTAGCAGAGGTGCTAGGTCAGTCCTCTTGAACGGAATTTCCTTACTGTGGGAAATAGGAGTAGCCTGGGCTAGTGACTTGTTTGCAAGGCTGTTCTATCCTTGGCTATGTGACTCCATGGA